ATGGCATTTATCCAAAAGACAGATGACAACAAATGCTGGTGAGGATATAGAGAAAAGGGAAGCCTCATATACTGTTGGGGGAATGCAAATTGGTATGGCCACTGTGGAGAACAGTGGAGAGGTTTCTCAAAACACTAAAAATAGAACTGCCATATGATCCAGCAATCCCACTGCTAGGCATACACCCAAAAGAAAGGAAATCGGTATATCAAAGCGATATCTACACTCTCATGATTACTGCAACACTATTCACAATCGCCAACATTTGGAAGCAACCTAAATGTCTATCAACAGACAAATGGGTTTTTAAAATGTGGTACATAAATACAATGGAGTACTATTCAGCCACTAAAAAGAATGAGATCCTGTCACTTGCAACAACATAGACGGAACTGGAGGACATTATGTTAAATGAACTAAGTCAGACGCAGAAAGACAAACTTGACATGCTCTCACTCATCTGTGGGAGCTAAACATTAAAACAGTTAAACTCACAGTGATAAAGAGTAGAATGATGATTGCCAGAAGCTGGGAAGGGTAGTGGGGAGAGTAGGGGTACGGGACATGCGGAGGGTTAATGGGTACAAAAATACAGTTAGATAGAATAAGATCTAGTATTTGATAGCATGACAAAGTGATTACAGTCAATAATAATTTATTGTACACTTTTAAATAACTAAAAGTATAATTACAATGTTTATAATACAAAGCCATTATAAATGTTTGAGGTGAAGAATTTTTTAAAAAATTAATTAGATGGAAGCAAGAATGACTACAAGGAGACTAATCAGAAGGCAGATGGGTTGGATGCAGTGGCTGATGCCTGTAATCCCAACACTTTGGGAGGCCGAGGCACACAGATCACCTGAGGTCAGGAGTTCAAGACCAGTCTGGTAAACAAGGTGAAACCTCGTCTCTACTAAAAATGCAAAAATTAGCCAGGTGTGGTGGCAGGCACCTGTAATCCCAGCTACTCAGGAGGCTGAGACAGCAGAATCACTTGAACCTGGGAGGTGGAGGTTGCAGTGAGCCAAGATGGTACCACTGCACTCCAGTCTAGGCAACAAAGAGTGAAACTCCGTCTCAAAAAAAAAAAAAAAAAAAAAAAAAAAAAAAAAAAAAAAGGCGGCAGATGAAGTAATCCAGACTAGATGATGGTAGTTGGAATTTCGGGTTGGTTAGCATGGGCAAAGAAGGAAGTAAATGGGTTAGAAAGCTGTCTAGGTGAATTTTTCACAGTTGCATTTGTTAAGAATTACTCCATGTTTCTAGCTTAAGAAACAACGTGGAAAATGCCACCGCCTTCCTAGGCAGGAAAGAATGAAGGATAAGAAGTTTAGAGCAGGGATAAGCAAACTTTTTCTTTTTCTTCTTCTTTTTTTTTTTTTTAGATGAAGTCTTGCTCTGTCTCCAGGCTAGAGTGCAGTGGCGCGATCTCAGCTCACTGCAACCTCCACCTCCTAGTTCAAGCAACTCTCCTGTCTCAGCCTCCCGAGTAGCTGGGACTACATGAGCACACCACCACACCCAGCTAATTTTTTGTATTTTAGTAGAGACAGGGTTTCACCATGTTGGCTAGAATGATCTCGATCTCCTGACCTCATAATCCACCCACCTTGGCCTCCCAAAGTGCTGGAATTACAGGTGTGAGCCACCATGCCCGGCCAGCAAACTTTTTCTTAATGGATCAGGAAGTAAATATTTTAGGTTCTGTGAGTCACATAGTCTACGTGAGGCCCATGTAGTTGAGTCTACTCCACATAGTTGAGCCTACTACTCAATTCCACCATTGTATTGGAAAAGCAACCACAGACAATATGTAAAGGAATGAGTGTGGCTGCCATCCAGTAAATCTTTATTTACAAAAATAGGTGTGCATGGGCCATAGCACCAATCTCTAGTTTCAGGAGAAAGATGAGTTCAGCTTTTGACTTGTTAGTTTCAAGGTGCCTCAGAGGCATCAAGTAGTAAGAGCTATTTAAGATGCAACTGGATATTTAATTGTGAAGTTCAGAAGAAGTATCTAGAACAGACACATAGGTTTGAGATTGGTCAGAAAAGTGGCAATTGGCCAAGTGTGGTGGCCCATGCATGTAATCCCAACACTTTAAGAGGCCAAGGGACGACGGACTGTCTGAGCCCAGGAGTTTGAGACCCATCTGGGCAACACGGTGAGACCTCCATCTCTACAAAAAATAAAAAAGTAGGCAAATGTGGTTGCACACATCTATAGTACCACCTATTCAAGTGGCTGACGTGGGAGAAGCACTTGAGCCCAGGAGGTTGAGGTTGCAGTGAGCCACGATTGTGCCACTGCACTCCAGCCTGGGTGACAGAGCAAGACATTGTCTCAAAAAATAATAATAACAAAATAAAAAAGAAAAGGTGGCAACTGATGCCATGAAAATAAGAAAGATTGCCCAGGCCAAGGTAGCACAATAAAAAGAAGAAATGTCCTACTCAGAACCCACACTAAAACTACCACTTAAGGAACAAAGATAGGAAGAACAATCAGGAAGGAAACTAAGAAGGGATATTCAAACAAGCCAAAAAACGCAAAAATTATAACTGAGTAATGTGCCAGAAGTGAATATGTCATGAGGGAAGTATGGATTGACCAAGAGACTCAAATGCTTCTTTTTTTTTTTTTTTTTTTTTTTTTTTTAAATATGTTTTTTTTTTTTTTTTTTTTTTTTTTTTTTTGAGACGGAGTTTCGCTCTTGTTACCCAGGCTGGAGTGCAATGGCGCGATCTCGGCTCACCGC